GTGTGTGTGTGTGTGTGTGTGTGTGTGTGTGTGTGTGTGGGTGTATGTGTGTGTGTGTACCCACACTGCCCCAAGTGATGCAGCGAATGTCATTATGTTTTACAAACATACTTGAGCAAAAGATAGCCATGACATTTTAAAATCAAGATGAACAGAAAAAAAAAAAAAAAAAGAATCATTCGCTGTTCCCTGTTGCCTTTCTTCAGCGGTAATTTAAATCATGCCAAGACGACTAATCAAATATTCAAGACCTCATCTCCGTCTTTCATATTTAAAAATATATAAGAAAGATATATAACGTAAACAACAGAGCAATGGACGTGATTCAAATTGGGGGGTGGGGGTGGGGGGGATGTTTCAATCCCAATCTCTTGTATGAACAATAACTGCAGCCTCATGTTATAGTGCTTGTGGGCCGAAAGCGACGAACGCAGATGACACGACAAGGTGTCCGCTTCCATAAGTGAGATGCGGATGCTATTTGCTGACATTGGCACACTGAGCAGAAACTAAATATATGCACAGTCAAAGAGTGCGCTGCCACAAGAGTATGCTGACACCAGTGTTGCAAACAGCTGGGGGCAACACACGCGCACATTCAAGGATATACACAGCACACACTCCTTGCACCGCATGGAAGCTATAGAGGCAGAAGACCGGCCGAGATATTTTTATGCGTTAGCCGTCTCCGAAAAAATGAGAAGCAGATTAAAACAGTGGCAGTTGGATTAACTGAGGATGTCATTTTTCACAGACGTGTTATTTCATCGGATGGATCGAATGAGGAGAGAACACAGTCGGGTTCATTCCACCACCCGGCGTGTGAGTGGCAGCGCCGGATTGAAATTGCTCCCGCATTGCACACGGACATGTATAATTATTTCTAAAACGAGATTAACTGAACATTATACCGAATGAGTGAATACGCTGAGTTGCATTCATAAATAGGCAAGTGAGTACTGGTGTCTGTGGCGCATATATTGAAAAAATAAATAACTGCGAGCATATTTTACCCAGTGTGGCTCATGTCATGCTGGGTGTCAGCTGCCTGCCGGACCAGTCAGAACTTCCAGGCAGTTGGACTGATGTGTACCGACACATGACTAAGGATTTAAAATTGGACTTCAGACCTTTGGCACTATATTCACACCATGCGAGCTTTTTCCGACGCTACGAAATGTCTGAGCCCACTGCAAAATTACACATAGTGGCGCGGGTAAATAAATATTTGGCTAAACTACAGTACAATAATAGAGAAGCCCATCTTGCTTACAGTGGCAAAAAATCAGAAATGCAGCAGCCCGTAAACTACATTAGGAGTCTTTTAATCCCTGAAGGAACTCCTCGATAATCTTAAATTTACACAGATAAGAATCCGTCCACCCATGCATCCATTTTCTAGGCCGCTTGATCTCATTCCAATCGCGGGTGAGTGGAGCCAGACGACTGCGCAACTGCAAGGTACATGCAGACGACCGACCATTGCGGCTCATATCCACAACTACGGGTAATTTGGAGTCTTCAATGAATCCAACATGGATGTTTTTGGATTATGGAAGAGCACCGGAGCATGTGGAGAGGATGCAAATATCACACTGAGTAAGGCCAGAACCGAGACTCCAACCCAAAATCTAAATAAGGATGTTCTTTGAAAACGAAAGGTTTTTTTTTTTCATGACTTGGATTATCTGATGAACAATTCGGAATGTTGCCTGCCTATTGGCCAAAAATGGCCACTGTAGGATAGGTTCCATCTCATTCGCATCCATAGTGAAGTCAAGTGCTATAGAAAATTGACATTTTATTTTAAAAAAAAAAAAATTTAAAAAGTGAACATTTTGACCATCGAAAGGCTAATTTCGATTTCCAAAACACTTTCAAAATCTAAAAAGCTCATTTGGAGACCCATAATAGATTTGTATTTGACTCTTACGATCCCGCTGTACTTTTTCCTGGCAGTATGAATAACCTGACAGAAAAGGGCTGACAAAAAGCTGTTGAAAGTCTAAAAGTACATCCTGTCGCAGAGTCAAGGATCTTCCTTGGCAGGTAACAGAAAAGGAATCGTACAGCCCACTCAAGCTCCCCTTTCCCAGCACCTCTTTTTGTTTGCCTCTACAGACAAGTTGTTAAGAGAGGAAAAGAGAGCGCACTATTCCCTTGGGTCATGAGTGAAAGTGGGTCTGTCAGGTTTTGAGTTTGAGAAAACTCCCCGCCAAGGTGCGCAGACTTCTCATGAAATTCAACTTCTATCTTGTTTATACATCAGACTGTGAATGAATCATTTTAGCTCTCACAATCCATAATAAAAAAAAAAAAAATTGGACCTTATGTGCATCGCCTCAGCTGCTCAATTAAGAGCAAATCGCCAGCATGCTCATCCCAAGGATTATCACCCCATCTTTTTTCCATCAAGACTCTTCTTCTCCTCGGAAGTGCTTCCCAAAGCCCTCCCTGCAGCAGGCATGCATGCAACACAGCCTCCTTCTCGCTCGTGCCCCCCCCCCCACGCCTTTCTTCAGCGGTAATTTAAATCATGCCAAGACGACTAATCAAATATTCAAGACCTCATCTCCGTCTTTCATATTTAAAAATATATAAGAAAGATATATAACGTAAACAACAGAGCAATGGACGTGATTCAAATTGGGGGGTGGGGGTGGGGGGGATGTTTCAATCCCAATCTCTTGTATGAACAATAACTGCAGCCTCATGTTATAGTGCTTGTGGGCCGAAAGCGACGAACGCAGATGACACGACAAGGTGTCCGCTTCCATAAGTGAGATGCGGATGCTATTTGCTGACATTGGCACACTGAGCAGAAACTAAATATATGCACAGTCAAAGAGTGCGCTGCCACAAGAGTATGCTGACACCAGTGTTGCAAACAGCTGGGGGCAACACACGCGCACATTCAAGGATATACACAGCACACACTCCTTGCACCGCATGGAAGCTATAGAGGCAGAAGACCGGCCGAGATATTTTTATGCGTTAGCCGTCTCCGAAAAAATGAGAAGCAGATTAAAACAGTGGCAGTTGGATTAACTGAGGATGTCATTTTTCACAGACGTGTTATTTCATCGGATGGATCGAATGAGGAGAGAACACAGTCGGGTTCATTCCACCACCCGGCGTGTGAGTGGCAGCGCCGGATTGAAATTGCTCCCGCATTGCACACGGACATGTATAATTATTTCTAAAACGAGATTAACTGAACATTATACCGAATGAGTGAATACGCTGAGTTGCATTCATAAATAGGCAAGTGAGTACTGGTGTCTGTGGCGCATATATTGAAAAAATAAATAACTGCGAGCATATTTTACCCAGTGTGGCTCATGTCATGCTGGGTGTCAGCTGCCTGCCGGACCAGTCAGAACTTCCAGGCAGTTGGACTGATGTGTACCGACACATGACTAAGGATTTAAAATTGGACTTCAGACCTTTGGCACTATATTCACACCATGCGAGCTTTTTCCGACGCTACGAAATGTCTGAGCCCACTGCAAAATTACACATAGTGGCGCGGGTAAATAAATATTTGGCTAAACTACAGTACAATAATAGAGAAGCCCATCTTGCTTACAGTGGCAAAAAATCAGAAATGCAGCAGCCCGTAAACTACATTAGGAGTCTTTTAATCCCTGAAGGAACTCCTCGATAATCTTAAATTTACACAGATAAGAATCCGTCCACCCATGCATCCATTTTCTAGGCCGCTTGATCTCATTCCAATCGCGGGTGAGTGGAGCCAGCCGACTGCGCAACTGCAAGGTACATGCAGACGACCGACCATTGCGGCTCATATCCACAACTACGGGTAATTTGGAGTCTTCAATGAATCCAACATGGATGTTTTTGGATTATGGAAGAGCACCGGAGCATGTGGAGAGGATGCAAATATCACACTGAGTAAGGCCAGAACCGAGACTCCAACCCAAAATCTAAATAAGGATGTTCTTTGAAAACGAAAGGTTTTTTTTTTTCATGACTTGGATTATCTGATGAACAATTCGGAATGTTGCCTGCCTATTGGCCAAAAATGGCCACTGTAGGATAGGTTCCATCTCATTCGCATCCATAGTGAAGTCAAGTGCTATAGAAAATTGACATTTTATTTTAAAAAAAAAAAAATTTAAAAAGTGAACATTTTGACCATCGAAAGGCTAATTTCGATTTCCAAAACACTTTCAAAATCTAAAAAGCTCATTTGGAGACCCATAATAGATTTGTATTTGACTCTTACGATCCCGCTGTACTTTTTCCTGGCAGTATGAATAACCTGACAGAAAAGGGCTGACAAAAAGCTGTTGAAAGTCTAAAAGTACATCCTGTCGCAGAGTCAAGGATCTTCCTTGGCAGGTAACAGAAAAGGAATCGTACAGCCCACTCAAGCTCCCCTTTCCCAGCACCTCTTTTTGTTTGCCTCTACAGACAAGTTGTTAAGAGAGGAAAAGAGAGCGCACTATTCCCTTGGGTCATGAGTGAAAGTGGGTCTGTCAGGTTTTGAGTTTGAGAAAACTCCCCGCCAAGGTGCGCAGACTTCTCATGAAATTCAACTTCTATCTTGTTTATACATCAGACTGTGAATGAATCATTTTAGCTCTCACAATCCATAATAAAAAAAAAAAAAATTGGACCTTATGTGCATCGCCTCAGCTGCTCAATTAAGAGCAAATCGCCAGCATGCTCATCCCAAGGATTATCACCCCATCTTTTTTCCATCAAGACTCTTCTTCTCCTCGGAAGTGCTTCCCAAAGCCCTCCCTGCAGCAGGCATGCATGCAACACAGCCTCCTTCTCGCTCGTGCCCCCCCCCCCCATGTCGTGCACAACCACAACCAAGGGACAAAGATGGCAATCTCCTCCTCGTCGCCTGATCAGCATGGAAATTGCCTCACGTCTGTCAAAACTCTTTTGCATCCTTTCAAGTGGGACCGGATCAGACAGAGGAAACAGGCAGAGATACATTGAGCTTTTTTTTTTTTTCCCTTTACCTTTTCAGCGACTTCAGTGTGCGGCGGCTCTTGTCACTGAGTGCGTGCGGCGGGCGGGCAAGCAGGACTCCCATTCATTCCTGGTTGTGTCCCTGCTGTGTTTTGCGTCCCTCTCCCTCTTCCTCCGGCATTCAAAGCATCCTTTTCTTGTATTCCTTCACCCACGTGATGGAGAGATCGTTTTTTCCCCCCTTTTGACTCGCAGGATGTTTTCCTTTCTCCTGCGTTGTGTTTTATTCAGTGGATTCGTAACCCCTTGCTTCTTTTGCTTCCCTCCCTTCTGCTTTTGTCCCCCTCCGTTTCTCTCCTGCCGGCTGGTTGGCTGGCTGGCTGGCTGGCTGGCTGGTGCACTCTGAAGTCGGCCGCTCTATCGAGACGGATGAGGCGACTCGACGCGTGCGAAGGCATATGTGAATGTGCTTATGCTAAGAGGTGGAGGGGGGGGGGTGGAATGGTAGGGGCGAAAGTAGCCTCTTAGCTGAGACTGAGACCACCCCTCCCTTCGAGAGATGAGCTTTCTAATGGCATGTACCATTAAAACCTCAGAATAGGGTGGCTTGCCGCTCGAAGGGGTGGTGGGGGGGAGAGGAGAGAGAGGAAATAGAGAGGGTGTGAGTGAAAAAAAACGATGGAAAAGAAGGCTGGTGACAAAACACATAAAGACAGCCCTGTTTAAAATGTGTAGATCCCCTCCCCCCCATCGCCCCCCTCCTACTTCCTCGGTATGTCTGTCACTGGTGTTATGATGAGAGCGCGACGTCCTGAGCGTCCTCCAATGGAAGTTTGTTTTAAGAGAGCATATCGCACACGCTAATTGTAGAAGAACAGAGAGGATGTTTTGGCGTCACGTCACAACTGCACAGATGTGCGCGCCAGGGATTGGGTGGGATAGGCGGCTGTTTTGCTTTCGGTGCCAACACATTCGTTCCACCTGCACGATTTAATGGGATACAATAAAACTGCCTTCAAATATATGATAAAGGTTCGTTTTTAAGTTTTTTTTAAAAAATAGATATTTCCAGACACACTTGGGGAAAAAGGTTCTTATTTAGAGATAATTAAAAAATATATATTTTAAATCTAATCATATCCCATTGCAAGGCAATTAAAATGAAACTTTTGTTGAAATAGTTTATACCAAGAAACTTGAGTTTAGAGTTTAATTAGTAGCTCATCTACTTTCAGTGCACATTCTGCAATATGTCTGCATTTAATGAGAATGAACAAATAACTCTTTGCCCAAAAAGCATATAGTTTTGCCTTTTCATTTTAAAGTCTGTGGGTCCATTGTGAGCACCCTATTAAATTACCTAAATGGCTCATTTTCTTGATTAGGAACTACATTCAAGGATTTTTCTTCCAAAAAAAAAAAAACCCCCACTGTCCTTTTCAACCTTTTAAGAAATCCAAGTTCCTGTGCCAAACCAGTTAATGTCTTTCTACTCCTGTGGCTCCACTGATTGACAGTGACTGGCTCAAATGCCAATTCCACCGCACTTCCATCCCATAAAACATCTCATTTCAGGCGTCACTGAATAAAGAGCTCGTCAGCGGCGGAGGTGAGACAGCGTCTGGTCAGAGGGTCAGAGGCATCGTCTTGGCCAGCTCACCTCCTGTGAGCTAACACAGCAGACTTGTCCCTGCTTGCAGCACGGGGATTGGAACATAAAGGTGGCGGGACATTACCAGTCCTGGACGCTACATGCAGGGGAAAAATAAGACAGAAGCGGTAAAAGTGTAGCACATGTAAAAAAAAAAGAAGAAAAAAAAGACTCATACACAGACCTCTTCAGTTTTGAGCATAGCCGTATTCTAGAAGCTGCGCACACACACACACACACACACACACACACACACACACACACACACACACACGCATTTTTATGTGACAGGCCACAAGTGCTAATCAGGTCATAACATTGAATATTTGTTTCAAAACAACATTATATGAGTGATCACACAACACGCCAACAACACACTGTTGGGAACAATGAAAACCACATCTGGCTTTTGCTTTTTTTTTTTGTGCAAGTTAGGCTGCCAGTTTGAGGTCATATTTTTGGTATAGTTCTCCAAACACACAGGAATTTCAAGTTTTTTTTTAAATTCAAAATATTTACTGTCAACATCTAAACATATATAAATGTGTTTTCCATGTCAAAACACACACACACACACACACACACACACACACACACACACACACACACACACACACGTCATTTTTTCTCTGCCTCTGAGAGGCAGAGAAAAAAGAAAACTCCGTCCTTTGGGTCATTCCAATGTTGATTCTCTGGTCCAGTATTGTGGCTCTGATGTCATCATTCATTCCATTTCTTGTGCTCCTTCCTCCATTTTCTTGTCCAGCTCTTCCTCTCCCTCTTGATTCTTCACCACCACGTCTTCTTCCAAGCCTCCGCTAATTCTCACACTTCCTGCTTCCTCCGCCGACAGCTTCCCTGTTGCTTGCTTCTGTCGCTCAGGCTGATTGCAAAGTTTCACCAATTACCTCAAACACTTTTCTGCTGTGACGGCGTGGGAATAAGGGCTATACATGTATAGCAGGGGTGTCAAAGTCAGGTCCTGGAGGGCCGCTGTCCTGCATGTTTTCCAAGTCTCGCTGTTGCAACACACCTGATTCAAATGAACAGGTTCAATGTCAGGCTTGCTGATGATCTGATCATTTGAATCAGGTGTGTTGCAACAGCGAGACTTGGAAAACATGCAGGACAGCGGCCCTCCAGGACCTGACTTTGACACCCCTGATTACAGAGATTTGCAAGGGGTGTGCTGACCGTTTGAAATTTGAGTGTAAAGTTGTGACAAGGTCAGTACAAGGCAATGTTTGTGCTTTTAGTTTTGCAAATTCTGCCAGTGGGTTTGCGATCGATAGTAGTGTTAGAGGTTGTGCGACAAAAGTTCCTGTTAAGATTGAAGGATTCAGAAAAATAACTCATAGAATTGAAATGACCAAAAATAAAATAAAATAAGAGTTTGCAAAATTGTATTCTGTTTCATCCTCCTCAACAGTCCTCATATTGAGGCAGCCATACATTTCTGCTAATAGAGCATCCAGCCCCCCCCCCCCACTCCCCCCGAAGTTGAAGTTTTTTTTGTAGAATAACACACTGGGTTTTGGCTCATCATTTTTGACCACTGCTCAAGGGCATATCGTCGCCAAGTGATATGATGTGAGTCTAGACAACAAGAAAAGCTCTCAGATGATTCAACAGCTACCTGCAATATTTCACTGCGAAGTGCCGTGCAGTATTTTGAGCTTTGGTCAGGCAGCAATCTTCAGACTTTCATTACTCGAGCTGCTGAATCAAAAGCTGTGAGTGTGCGAAAAGGATGTTTGTTGGAACGATCTCTTACAAGTTGCGTCTGTTTCACAGAGGCTTCGTCACTCGGGGGAGAAAAAGACGTGGGATGGTGCTCGGTGGGGATGATTCATCATTTCATATCTTCTAGCCAGCACGACATTTTTAAGCTTCAACAGGTATGTGCCGACTGCTGCAAGTATATGAAGGTTTTACCTTTATGAGGCCAAAAATGCAAACCTTTACCCTTCATAATTGCTTTCAGCATGTAAAATTGAAGCACAGTGCACCGATTAATCACATTTAAAGCATTTTCCCCCCCCAGTACAATTTGCTAAGTTTCCTTATGTCTTTACGTTGAGGAACAATGTTTGTCAGTCGTCACCAAATGAGTATCTGTCAGTGACGGACTGAGAGTTTTCGTCAGTATTGATGGAATTGCAACCTTTGGTTAAAAGTATAGTAGTTTGAAAATAAATATTCAAAACAGCCTTCCATCCATTACCTGAGTTGCTTATCATCATGAGATGATCAGATGTCACACATGTCTTGCGGCAGTGGGCAGTGCTCACCCTAAAGCTAATTAATCCACGGGCACAGCAATTTGAATGAATTATAGACACCCAAACAGAAATCCAGTTGTACTATTTTCATTTAAAATATCAGCAGTCACATTTTTTCTTCACTATATTGCATTATGTGCTAACATTTAATTTGGACTTGAGTTTTGCATAATAAATGTTATCCTACTTCATATTTGTTTCAACATTAGTTCATTTATCAAGTTTGCTTCTCGAATGGAGTATATATTTAAACTATACAGAATGAATCATTTATTAAATTAATATACATCTACAAATATGTTTACCCTTCATTTCATACTGTGATATATACCGTTACCGTGAGAGGATGCAATTGACACTGTGATATGAATTTCAGCCGATATCGCCCAGCACCTCTGGGCGATATGACCCTTTTTTTTCTGACTCATGAAGACGACGCTTCCACTAAAACACTGCCTGACACGGATGGATAACACAGCTTGTACGAGGTGGCTATAAAAAACATTAAACTGATACATGGGCAGGTGGCCGTTCCATTATTGGCCCGCTACTGTGTCCACGGCCTTGGGCTGTATCATTACTTGGAGGTGAGTCTGTTGCCTGGTGACCTCCTATATAGACAGTCGCCGGGACTGATGGATTGTGTGGATGCACTGGCCCCCGTTGCCTCACGATAGATGAATTGCTGATCTACAATCACCACTTGGATGGCATCTGAGGAAATGAGATTAAGTTTTATTCTTGGCTCAATATCCAAAAGTGGCTCGTCTGACAAATAAACTGCAAGAATAATAGACAACCGGGAAAGGAATTCCAGCAGGGAGTTTGAACCGAACGCATTCTTCATCTAAACCTGAGATTTACATGAATTTCTCAGAGCGTTCTTATTTACGACATCTGATGTGAATTAATTCAGTCATGCCTGAGTAGTGGTGCACGAGTAAATGCAGGATGAAATGCACAATTTCACGGATTGGTTTAAGATTTAACCAAACGGCAAACTGCAAAATATACTGTGGATGCATTGGAAAATTATGGAATAATGTCTGATTTTATATAAAGGTGTAATCTGGCGTCAGAGAAGTATGCCTGCAAATTTGTTACACCTGAAACCTAAAATATATTTCAGACAGGCAAGTCATAATTTGACTTTGATTCTAATTGAGGAAAAAATTTACAAACGTACTGTTCTCACATATTTGTTGCATCAATTTGGGGTGCAAAATTTAACTTTGTTTATTAATCCAATGGAACCAATTTTTTTTTTCTCAAACCAGTCTAATGTAGTTTATCCAAGTGCAGTTGCCGTAGATATGACACGACAGATTTGCGTTGGATGTATTTTGGGGAACCGCTGACAAAAATGTTGCTGACTTAGCAAAAGTTTCCCAGGGAGCGGCAAGGTGACATGTTCTCCAACGAACATCTGTTTTTGGCAGCAGCAAAAGAAAGCAGCACGCGGGCATGTCGAGGAGGCTCTGTTTATACCGAATCACAGCACCAGAAGACAAGGACGTTGCGGTACATGCGTCTCAGACAGACAACCGAGCATCCCACACGGTCTGTGTACTCCCTCCATGGAAACACAAGCTGCTACGATAAAG